GGAGAGTTGATGCAACGACATGCCTGGAGGGACAGCGTGTGGTTCTCCTTGAGTCTGGTGATGGCTGCAGGGAGAACAGCACCCATGGCTGCCCCAGGCCTAGAGCCGCCTCTGCAGGCTAGGTAAGAGGGAGCTTCCTCAGAAGATACATCAAAGCGGTCTCCAGCATGAGAACTGATGTCTGAGGTGGCTTCTCTGGAATAAAACAGACAAACTGTGGAGCTTGCCACAAATTTCAGATGGCACCTTTCCTATGAAGGCTCATGGGAGGCTTCCAGCAGCTTCCAGTGCCTAAAGGGGCTGAGAAGAAATCTGGAGAGGGGCTTTTGACTAGAGCATGTCGTGATAGGACAAGGGGGAATGGCTTTAAACTGATAGAGGGTGGATTTAGATTAGATTTTAGGAAGAAATTATTTCCTGTGAGGGTAGTGAGACCCTGGCACAGGTTGCCCAGAGAAGCTGTGGCTGCCCCATCCCTGGCAGTGTTCAACGCCAGGCTGGATGGGGCTTGGGTCAACCTGGTCTAGTGGAAGGTGTCCTAGTTCATGCCATGGGGTTGAAACTGGATGAGCTTTAAGGTCCCTTCCAACCCAAACCATTCTATAATACAGTCCTTGTTTTTCTCAAGTTTATGTATCCCAGAATTTCACTGTAGCTGTGGGGCAGGTTGGTGGATGGGTGAAAATAAACCTGTCACTTTTTAGTGTGTGTAGTTTATTTCTCCTTATTTCTCCCATGCAGACATTCACACGCACACCAAGGCTTAACAGAACACTTCACCTCCTTCCATATTAGGTATGTGAAAGAATACACATGCACTGTGCTCCTGAAATACCGTATGTGCTGACCTAAAACATCCTGTTGCATTGATGTTTTAAAGAATGACAGCATCACACAGAGAGTTTCTTTTCTAGTATCTGGAGGCTAATTAATCCCCTTAAAATAGAGAGATAGTAGTGAAATAGGTGCTCTTGGTACCAAGCAACTGCACTGCTTGCTGAAGATGATGAAACACAAGTACAAAAGAGAATAGGTAGGGGTAGGTTAAACCTGGTGTTCCTGACTCTGACAGTTTACTTTGATGAATGCACTCATTCACTCAGCTTCACCATTTGGATCCTGCATAATCAGAGATAACAGGCGGATGGTTTGCATGAATAACCAAGTTTGTCATGTTTAATTTTCTTTTAAAAAAAGAAACAGCAGTTGCTTTACCCTCATCCTTCAGGCCCAATACATATTTATAAATTGTCAGGAAATGAAAAGCCTTTTAACAGCACGCAACAAGCATGCAAAGCTACCAGGAGGAGTAACTAGGAGCACAGAAAGCAGAGCAGCCCGTCTGCAGCCTGGGTGGGCTTGCCTCGCTTTAACTAGGAGGGTGCTGCAGGCAGGGGGTGCTGAGCAGGTTGTCTGATTTATTAGGATATGTGGCACCGGTACTGGTTTTGTGTTCTGCAGGCAGTGTCTTCTGACAACCTGACATCGTGCAGCAAGAAGCGTTAAAACTGAAAAATAAACCTGCGTTTGGCAGTTAGCTGGTAGTTCAGTGACTGGCTGTGCTGCTTAATATTTGATAGGTGCTTGCTTTATAGCACCTACCCCATCAATGACAGCCTCTTAAAACATACAGAAGGTGCAGCTGGAGTCTGCATGGATCAAAATGCTGGAGGCGTATCTTCTGCAGAGCACTCCATGTGAAGGTGAAAGGCCTGACTAGCTCCTCAGATGGCTTTGATCCAGGACCAGCCCTTCCCAACCTGTGCCAGGAGTAGGTGTGTGCATCCTGTCTGCTATCAAACACTGCTAATGTTACAATTAAAAAAGAACCAGTCTCTTTATTGAGCAAATGATTTCTGCAGAGAATACTGTGATATATGAAAATGTCTTTGTGGAAAGCTCCCAAGGGAGAAATTCAGAAGAAGAAAGATTGGATCACTAAAACGGAGAGAGAAGCCAGGAGTCGTTAATGTGAGGCTGAAGGAAGAAGACCAAATCTAGTTAGAGGGTCTTCTAACCAGCATGGCTTTATTCATAATCATCCTATCAAGATGATCTTTGCAATAGGCAACCTCTGACTTCAATACCAATATATATGTCACCAGACAAAAATCCCTCAAGAGCTAACTCAATGATATTTCAAGTAAAAACTACTAGGCAGAAGCGCAATCTGATTATCAGCATGTGTGCAGCCTGGGAGGCATGGAAGATCTATGAACACCAAAGCCTGAGAGAGGGGTGGGGCACACTTAGCCCATGCAGCTGTCCTGCTGGCTGGCCACTGCTGCCCCTCCAGAAGCCCCACTGACAGCATGTGGCATTTCACACTAGACACCCAAAGAAAAAGGACCTTGAGCTGATTAGGGATCCCCTTGCTGGGTTCTAATTTGACTTCAGCATCACTTAAAACAGTCTCAGGTTTGCTGTAAATTGTAGTCAGCTGCTCACCCCCTGTAAAGCCGTTGCTGGCTGCCACGGTTGGTGCCAGGATCACCTGCCCTTCCCCAGGGAGCCTGGGTACTTTGGGCACTGCCTGTGTGGGCTACGAGACCACTGCTGAGCAATGTGGTGCTGAACTGATCTGTGAGCATGTATGTGGGTGTGGAATTTGGGTTTAGTGGGAAAAACGATAAATCTGACCAAAAATATCGCCAAGATCAAAAAAAGTACAAAGTGTTTGCCACTAGTAGTTGTCTAGGGAGTACAGAATAATGAATTAGCAAATTCAAAACCACAAGGACCTGTAAAATGTTGTTTCCCTGCTAAAAATATCTCTCAGAAAAATCTTTAGAGCACCAGACTTCTTTTTTTTTTTTTCTCTTCATCCAAGTGCTGATGCATGTGCATAGTTTCAACATGTGAGCTGTTCTGCGTATGCTGTAGGATAAGCATGGGTTTAAAGCGCTGGCATGTGGTAATGTTTGGCTGGGTCAGCCTGTGGCAAATGCTTGTGGGAATCTGGTAGCGGGTGGATGTGCAAAGCCTGATTCTCATTTAGGCCGAGGCTGCTGTACACGGCTCCCTGGGTGAGTGGGACTCTTGCAGCAAGCATAAGTGTGTGCAAACACTAAATTGTGTAATTAATTTCAAATCCCCTAAAGTTAACTCAAAATAGCCCCGTGCAGACATCACGGGGCTGGCAGACCGCAGGCATCTGTGGGCGATGCCCCTGTCCTTCCCTGTGGAGGTGTGGGCAGGCATCCCATGGCAGTAGTGGGGCTCTCCCCAGTCACTGCTTTTCCTCTCCTTGCCCTCTTCATCCCCAGAGGAGCCACATCCCACCCCTCTGCTCCAAGCATCTCATCTGCTGTCTGGACTGGAGAGCTTAGTCTCAAGCAGAGACATTAACATTTCTGTTAATAGGGATCTCTCTGTTGCTACATAGTCTGAATTGGCCTCTATTACTTATTAATGAAGATCCAAAAGTGCATGTACTTAAGACCTTGCTTAGCTAAGGGGAGTCTTCTAGGGGCAATCTGAGTCCTATTTAATGACTAATGGCTATTGAGACATAATGTCCACTAAGCAGATATCACATCCTATTTAGTATTTAATGTTTAAATATTTAATTAATTAAACACTGCCAAATATTTAATTAATCGTCATAAGAGCCATCCTGACACTTCCACTATGCATAATGCAAAGGGAATCAGGGCTTTCCTTCCTAGCCCCGCAAGTCAAGCAGACCGTGCCTTACCCAGAGATAACTGGGGTCTGTGTAGCCAAAATACCTGCAGTCAGACACAACAGAGAAGACGAGTTTTTTAAAACCCTTTTTATGTTGTGTGTGTTTTTCTGCAAAATGATCTGAGCTAAACGTTTGATTAGTAAATCAGACTCTGAAGTGACACATAGGCAGAGCAGTGGTACCGGTACACCACACAGCAACAAGAACGCTATGCTTGTATATTGACTTTTAATTATTTAAAAGTAAATGACTGCTAGTTAGCATGGCATACCTGCCAACAGTTTACACTAGTTTTGCTTAAATATTTACTCTGCTATTCAATAAAGAATGAGTCTACTGAAGCAAAAAATGAGAACCTTCCCTATCACGAGGTCCCTCTTCTACCTGTGGCATGCCAGCTTCACATCGATTTATTCACAAAGAGATGGTAGATCTTGATGGTTTTCCTGGGCTAAGCCAAAATATGGCTTTAAATTATCCAGTTAGACTTCCAACCACAAACTGGGTCATAATTATCAGCTTCTGACATTCAGATTCATATTTACTTATGGAAACTTGGCACTTAGAAACACAAAGATCTTTAAATCCCAGTTTCAAAATCCAGACACCCAGCAGGTACCGAAACATTTAGGGCTGCATTGCTTATTTGAATATTTTATGACCAAGCTCCATCCTCTGATGCATGCTGAAGCTGCTGGGTCATGTTTCATTGCTCCCAGTCTGTGCAGGGATGTCTTATTTTAATGTTCCCACATGGGATCTCTTGCTAACAAGGAATGTGGCTACCAGTTGGAGAAACCATTAAAGTAACATCGTTTTTATGCTTGGATTCAAGCCATTTATTAATTAAATGAGGATACATATGTGGGGCTTACTTTAGAGGATCTTGCGTGATCTTGTTGGCTGCTCCAGCCAAATGACTTTTCACTGTGAAGAGCTGATGTTCCAGTTGCTCGAATTGGTTTTACTTATATAAAAATTAAAAAAAGAAGGACTCAGAGGGTAAAAAGCCTCTATTGTCAGAACCTTTATCTTTCAGGTTCAGTGATGCTTCTCTTTGTCCCTTTGCATTTTCTGAAAAATCAGTTGTCTCAACTGCCAGGAGTTTGCCTACATCTATGGGCTGCTGGGATGTTTTGAATTTTCATGTGCTCCTGCCCACCCAAGCAATAATCTCAATTATTATTAATTCCTTTCACTTCTTTGCTCCTTACAGTCTTTTCAACAAAGGTGTATTGCCACCCAAAGTGGGAGTAAAATGTCATCGTGCCCATGCTTTGCCCAAAAATAAATGCTAAAACTGAGCAGGATGGGGGACTCATCCACCTCATTTAATGTAACAGACACTTGATGGTCTTGTTTGATGTCATGTCTTTTAATTAGCATGCACTTTATTCTCAGATGTATACATAAAGCCCCCCATAACTCATTTAGGGCGGACAGCAATCTATGTATTGGAGATGAAAAGACGACATGAACTGGCAGCTGTGAGCAGAGCGGTGAAGGAGGGGGACAGTGGGATGCTTGAGTCCTGAGGCTTGGTCCTCCCCACCAGCGCTGCAAGGGTAGAAGGCACCGGCTATGGTGAGAGCCGGGCTCTATTGACAGGAGCTGCTCTGGCAGAGCCCGGGGCTGGAGCGCTCTGCCGGCGCTGCCCTCACAGCATTACCAGGGGACGCGGTCCCAGCCGCCGCCCAGGCCTTTCTGCGCTCATTTATTATTCAGCACGTCTTGGCTGCTTAATTGAGGAGGCGCACAGCAGTCTCTGCTAGCGCCCGAGCTCTCTGCGGGGGAAATCATCGCGGGCAGCAATTCAGTTTATATAGAAAACCACCTTCAGCCATCTGCCATCACCCCGCAGGTCCCCAGGTATGGTCACCATCTGCTGTATTCTGATGGTTCCCTGCCTGGCTTTGCGTTGGTGATTGTGCCTTGTAGGTAAACCAGCCCTACTTGTGCCATCCCACCGCAGGGGCCTCCTGCTCGCCTGGGACGTGGCACCACGCAGCCCCCACACACCCGCGTGCGGCTCTTGGAGCATCCCCGTGGCCTCCTCTGGAATTGCTCATCTTTCCTGAGGGATCGGTTCCAAGGAAGGTATTTAACCTACAATCTTCTCCTGTGGCTACGTTTAAAACAACGTGAAATTCCGTTATCGAACCAGCAGCAGGCCAGCGAGCTCTGCTCAACGTAGCAGAAAAACCGGAGCGCTACCCGGTGGATGGCTGAGGTGGGCTGGCAGCGGGGCAGCACTCCTCCGGTGCGTAAGGGAACGCGGCAACACTCCCCTGCCGCCCCTGTTCCACCACGAGAGGTCTCCGGGGCACGGCTGTCCCGCTGCAGGCCGCGCACCCCCAGCAGCCCCTCAGCCCTCCCGCGCAGCGCGGGGCCCTCCTGTCCCGTCACAGCCCCCGCCCGCCGCCGGCCAGCGCTGCATTACAAAGGGTCTGCTGCCACCTCGTGGGCTGGGCCGCGCCGAGCCCTGGGCGAGCCCCTCCGAGCCCTCACCGAGCCCCTCCGAGCCCTCACCGAGCCCCGCCGAACCCGCACCGAACTCCGCCGAGCCGCCACCGAACGCTGCCGAACGTCGCCGAGTCCCACCGAACCCCCGCCGAGCTCTGCCGCGGGGCCACCTCCCCAGCCTCTTCCCGCCGCCCCCGCGCCGCGTCCTCCCGCCATCGGCATCTCCTCGCCGCATCCGCAGCCCCATGCCTGTACCCCACCACCCCACTGTACCCTTGCGGGGAGTTCCTCGGTGAGCAGCCTCACTCCGGGGAGCTTCACTTGCCGCTGGCTTCGCCATGCTCCTCCGCACGGGCACCATGGTCTCCGACGGGATTTTCTTCTCCATACAAATAGGGTTTGGGTTTCAGTCCCCTCGGAGTGGGAACGACTCAGAGGGGCACAACCAGTGTGTCCTGTGAAACAGCTGGTGCAGCTGTGGATTGGGATTCTCTGCATGGCAGAGTCCGAACTGAACTAGCTCACTGTTTGCCATGAAAATACAAAGCTTAAAAAGACTTCACTCGTTTGGGGTTCATATTCTCCCCTCCCGATATTGGAAATGATGCTGGAAACACAGCGGTTTGGGCCATGTAGGTTATGGGCAGTGATTTTGTCCTTACATAAGGACTTGAAACAATGTGTAGGTGGAAAACGCCATTTTTTCTCTCCACAGTTTCAAAATGTATAGATTGCATTTCATGGTCTCCCATAAGATTTTACCAGGCATGTTGTTTTCACTGCACATCCTGACTTAATGCAATGTGGCCTACAAAAATTAGTCATAACACAGTACATTAGCTAGGAAGAGACAAACATTTCCATAAACTACATGTTCCACCAGTGTGCTGGTGCAATCTATGGGCAGATGGTTTTGTCCAAATTCAGAGGAATCATGTGTTTTCCATGTGGCTCCATGTTCACAAATAATGTATTTCCACACAACTCTGACCCAGACATGGGCCAAACTTTGTCTTGAAGTGAAGGTGTATTAGTCACAAACGTGCCTCTCTTTGTCCCTGCCCCATTTCTGGGTGAGCACACTATGAACCATTGGAGAGAAATGTCCTTAATCCTAAAAATAGGCTCTGGTGTAATAGAATATCTGCTGAGATTCAGTCTGATTTGTTGGTTAACAGCTCCTTGACTGATGGGTGACCAGGAAGGACATGTGCTGGGTGGCCCCATGAGCTCCATGGACAAGGTGAACATTTGGTGGGACCTTGGCCAATGTCCTGACCCTGTGAAGCCTGGCTGGGCACAACCCAGTTTTTGCACAGGACACTGCATTCCATGCACTGTGCTCATCTCCTGGCAGGTATCTCCTGGCGCTGACCCACTGTCCCGCTTTGTCCCCCCATTTTACACAGGCAAAACCCCCTGAAGCGGTGAGCTGCTCTGGTCCTCTCTTGGCACTGTGCACCCCGTATCCTAAGGGACCTGGGCTGGTGCCCCAGCAGGGCTAGCGGGATGTCCGGGCCATGCTGCAGGGCACATGGGGTGAGCAGCACTGTGCCCCTGTGCCCCCCCCCCCCCCCCCCCCCCGTGCTGTGTTCTGCAGGTTAGCCCTGCTCCTCACCGCAGAAATGATTGTCAGTTGATCTTTCACTACTTCAGCGATGCTGATCAGCTTTTGAACTGCTGTAAATGAGGCCAATCAGCATTACTTTCATGTCATTACTTCAAGAGCTTACTCGTAAATTTCCTCTTATCCTGCTTCCCCTTTGGTCTGGAATTAGCCACAGCACTTGCTATGAGCTGCTGTACCCAGTTCTCCTCCACTGGAGCCGTTTGATCACTCTTAGGTTTAGTAATCAACTGGCAAACACACCTTATCATGTTTGACTTAAACCAATACACCTTCTTGCCCATTCTCTGTGTTGCCTGCGCGGTGCTGCTGGGGAAGCAGGGGATGTGCTGCAGCACTTCACTGACCTCAGTATAACACGGGAGAGAATGAATTGGCAACGAGTCCATAAAATAATTAACAACATCTTTCATTTAGCTGTGTGAATTTTATTACTTGGATGTTAAAAAATGAGGAGGATGGATTTCATTGCAAATGAAAGGGTGGATCCCCCCGTTACTACCAAGCAGCCTACAGCTCAGTGTGCAGCGGGGATGGGTTTGACAGCAACACTCTTCTGGGTGAAAACATAGCATGTTCCCGAAAAAGTACAACTGGAACATCAAGTACTTCCTTTTCCGCATGGTTTCATTGGTGTTGGGGTACACTGAAACGAGGTGAGGAATGGCTTCATCCATGCTCCTGCCCGAAGTGCCCTTGACTTGGATGGTTGGTCCAGGGAGCTGCACCAGCTCTTCCAAATAGCAGTTAATTAAAACCAGGGCGGGTGCAAACCAGTTGTAACAAATGCAAGGCCCTTCAAATGTGCTCCCCTGTCAGGAGAAAAGGGTAATTTTCAGAGGTAATTTGCCTTGACTTTCCTGATATGTAACGTAACCCAACCTGCTTTCAACAGAAACTGAGCAGAAACCAACTTTCTTCTTAATGATTAATTTTCATAAAATGCAACTTAAAAAGTTATTTGCTTTTTTGATGTTAGAATCTCTGTTAAAGGACTGATGAATAACGTGAGCATTGAAACTGCTGAGACATATAAGAGGCAGCTTATTCGTGCCGGTGCCTGTGCAGTTGGTGCTGGTGCTCCCTGGCTGCTGTGGACACCGCTGATGTTGGAGCCCTTGGGAGGCATCAGATTCCTCCAGCTCTATCCACTGCCCGTTTTGGGATAGGCCATTTCCTAGTTGAGTGTCAATGGCTCCAGCCACCATAAATTACAGATTTTTCTGGGGATGCTTAAATTCATAGCACCTGGAGGAAACCCAAGCTGCCCATAAAAAAATCCTGTGCTCTTATGAGCCCTTTTGGGGGCCGAGCCCTTGCCCTATGCCTCTTTATTTTGCAATCCCTGCCTTGGAGGAGACCCAAGGCAAACAGTTATTGCTTGGTGCTTGCTGTTCTAATAGCTGGAGGGGTAAGGTGTGATCTCATCTTCCCTCTGTGTGGCACTGCAGGGTTCCTCTGGGCCAGGAGAGCAGCAACAGGGAGCCTGGTGCTTGCTGCATGTGAGGGCTGGCTCTGGTGGCATGTTACCATGGGTGGGATGTTTCCCACCCTCCTGCTGTTGTAGGGTGACAGTCTTTTACCCCCAAAACCTTCTTTTTCAGAGTGATGTGATGTGTGGTGCTGGAGTGCAGGCTGAGGGCTCTGTCCAGTCGAGGCTTGCTCCAGCTGTGCTGCTAACCATGCGCTTGAGGGAAGCAGTGTTCTGGTGGCTCCTCTTTTTATCATGTGTAAAATGGGGATAATAATAACAACCTATGTCACAGGGGTGTTGCAAGACTTAATTAATTAGTATTTGCAAAAAGCTTTCAGATAATTGGATTAGAGTTGCTATATTAACACAAACTGTTATTGTTATTATTTATTTATTATGTACTTGTGGAGTTGGTCTGTGCAGGATATTTTTGCTGACTCTAGCTTGCAGATGTAAATAGAGGAAATTGCACTAGAGTTGAAGAGAGCAGAAGAAGTAAATTCCTATTTTGGCTCTTGCTTGTGACCTCCCTGAGGCTAACAGACCTCCAGAGCCTGAGGAACACCTACAGGGAAGTTATGAGTGGTGCCTCCTTGCTGAAGCTGGGAGAATATCTACGTTTCTGGAAAATGCGCAGAAAATGGGTGGGGAAAGGTCCCACAGTTCCGGAGCGTGGTGTATAACATGGCTCACGTGCCCTTCAGGCACAGGAAAATGTGGAAAGAGATTGGATCCCAAGAATTGTGTGCCTTTTCCTGGGTGAGACTTGCAGCCCAGCAGCAGTAAGGCATGGGAAGCGTGGCACAGCTGTGTGTGTAGCTTATTGAGGTTGGGCACACTGGGTTCACTTTTCAGTTGGGAATGTATTTGTAAGGCTCACCTACTGTGGAAAGGCATAATGGGAACAGTTGGGTGGAGCAGCCCGGTGGGGATCTGGTGCTTTGGCAATGGCTCCTGCCATGCTGGGTCATGGCATGACATGCTCTTGTTCCCACAAAATGAAGTTGTTAATGAATATGTAAAATAAGCTTCCCAAAGCTGTGAACGCTTTTCTGTCAGACTCAAGCTTCTCTAGGTAATTCGCCCCTGAGGTGAATACTTGGGTCAGAGTTAAATGCAGCTGCTTTGGGATTCTGTGGATATGAGAACAGACTAATTTGGGTGCATAAGTCATTTTTAGTGCACTAATTTCCTGTTTTACATGCAGAAATGGTCCATAAATGGCACAAAAGTCTTGAGGAAACTAAGCTTAAAGCATCTTGTTCAGATAGAGTGAATGCTGGAGTCTTCCTTAGGAGCATATTATATGAAAACTCTTGGTGCTTCAGTTCTTACAGGAGACCAGCAAATCTTCATCAGTTTATAGCTCTGCATGGGTTATTAGTTGTCTCAGGTTTGCATAGCTCTGTTTTTCTTCATTAATATTAGGCTTTTATCCTTTCAATCGTTTTGAAGAGCTCTGAGTCCACAGCTGAAGATCTGAAGTCTTTCTTCATTAATAAGAACAACAACAAATGCAGTGTGCAAATGAGATGTTTAGGGAAACGGAGCAGAAGCTGCTGTGTCTGGAGCCAGGTGCTCTTCTGCAGTGTCCCTGCGTGCTGCTGCTGCAGCATCTCACCCTCAGCACTGAGGCTGGGCACTGCAGAAAGGCAAGGTGATATCCTGCAGTGTACCCCTGGGCCCCCAAAATTCCAGGCTCTGGGTGGAAATGCACCCATTCAGGTTCAAATCTACTGAATTGTCTTGAACTTGAGATCTCAGTCTCAATTTCCACACCAATACCTAAGGGTTCCCATTAACTGTGGGAATTTCTTGCCTTGAAGAAAGAACAGGAGGGTGAGACTGTCCTGTGGGAAAGGCACTGAAATCTGGAAAACTTGGGAACATGCTGAAGGGCAGCCAAGCCTGTAAGGAAAACTTCAGGGTAAAGTTTGCTCCAAGTTGCTGATGAGCCGTCAGCGCAGGTGAGCCCTTGGCAAAGCCCGTGTTAGGATTCCACATGCTGAGAGAAGCAGTCTCTTTGGGGGAGAGGTGCTGGCTCACCCTTTGCAGCCTCTTCCTCTCCTCTCCTGTGTTTTTGGCCATGCATCGCTCTGGCATGCCCTAGCCCATCGCTGAAGCTTTTTGTACCGGGCGATGTTGATCATGACATGAAGCAGTTAGTGCATAGACAGGATCCTGAAAGTAGCACCAGCAAGATGCAGGTGTAGAGTTCAGGGGCTGGCTGTGGGCAGAGTGGCAATGGGTCTGCAGCAGGCTTGGCATGCCCAATTTATGGTCATTTACATGGGAAATTGCTCTGATCTAATTTACATACGCAGTCATAGTGATCGTGGGCCAATTAAACTTGTAGTTCACAAAATCCGTATGTGAAACCTTTACAGTTCTTACAAACACACTAATCTGGTGTATATGTCA